TCGGATCTGTAAGGTCGCTATAAGGGATCTATCAGAGTTCTATAACAGACCTATCAGGGATTGTTCTGCAAGGGTTCTATAAGGGATCTAGGGTTTAGGGTTTAGGGATTAAGGGTTTAGTGTTTAGGCTCATGGAAGGCTTAAAGGCTTAATATAAAGGTTCTATAAGGGATCTAGGGTTTAGGGTTTAGGGATTAAGGGATCTAGGGTTTAGGGTTTAGGGAATAAGGGATCTAGGGGTTAGGGTATAGGGATTAAGGGTTTAGGGTTTAGGGATTAAGGGTTTAGGGTTAAGGCTCAAGGGGTCCTTAAACATAAGGGGTCTATAAGGGTTCTACAAAGGTTTCTGTAAGGGTTCTAGAAGGGATCTAGAATAGGGATCTATAAGGATTCTGCAAGGGGTTTCTATCAGGGGTTCTACAGCGGATCCATAAGAATTCTATAAGGGGTTCTGTAAGGGTTCCATAAGGGGTTCTATAAGGGATTCTGTAAGCGGTTGTATAAGGGATCTACAGCAGCGGATCTATAAGGGCTCCATAGTGGATCTATCAGGGTTCTATAAGGGATCTATAAAGGATTGTTCTATAAGGGTTCTATAAGGGATCTATGGTGGTTTAAGGGTGTTTAGGGCATGGGGTTGCGGTTTGTGGTTTTCTTGAGCAATCTGGGAGATCAGTCTGTGGCTTGGGTCTCCGACTATTTGAACAGCGAGTGTTCGGGGTGTGGGTTTAGGGTGCATGTGGGTTTAGGGTTTGGTGTTCAGGGTGACTCCTCACAGAACCCGTGTAGAACCTTTGTCGGACCCTTGACCTGCAAGGCCCACAAGTTCAGCGTGCCGGCATTTTCCTCCACGGCCCGTTGTGCTTTCTTGGATGCGGTCCTGTCAGCGTTTACAACGCCGCCCAGTAAACCACAGGACCGGTTGGCCACAGGGGGCCCGGGGTCTTGTGGTTTAGGGTTTAGGTTCAGGGCTTGGGTTATGTCTGTATGGTATGGTTAGTAGGAGCGTGGAAGGCGAACCCGAAGAGATTCATGAGTAGAGGTTGATGGAACAGCGGAAAGTGCCCATATTTGCCCCAAAAACGACATCAAGGACTAACCCTTAAACTGGCCCTTTAGGAAAAGGTCGCGGTGGAGTCCTGCCTTTTGGACCGTTGGGAGTCGGTGCTGGAGATGAAGGAAACTCTGCCATGATCGGCTGCTTTTTCTTCGGTGTTGCCCACAGCGTCCAAGTAGTCCTGATTGATGGGTTTTCGGTGCCTAAAGTCTTCCTAAACCCTAAACCCTGTATACCCTGAACCCTAAACCGTTTTAAGTGGACCCAAAGCCCTGTAACAAGGAGCAGTTGGATGTTAGGGGCCTATTAGGGGCCCTACACCCCAAGCCCTAAACCCTATATTTTTTAGGCTATGTTTAGGGTTCGGGTTCCTAGGGTTGAGCATTTATATTGATACCGCACACAGTGTAGAACCTTGATTCAACATATAACCCGCAAGCCCCGAAAACCAACTTAGGGATATCTTAACCACTCTGGTTTTCCCTGAAGACCCGTTTAGTTCTCAGGGGTGACGGAGATGAAACGAAAGTTGAAACCCTAAACCCTAAACCCTAAACCGGAAAGCCCAGGAGACTCACAACGTAACTTTCGACACGGCCGATGGCGAGGTGACGGCCCACGATCTTCTTCTCATGGCTGTCTCACCGGTCTTGAAAGCGATGCTGGAGTCGTCCATGAAGGAAGGACAAAGCCGGCGTATTGCAGTGAAGGATGCCTCCGCTAGTGGCTAGTTTCGGGTTTAGGGTTTCGGGTTTTAGGGTTTTGGGGTTTTGGGGTTTTGGGGTTTTGGGGTTTTGGGGTTTTAGGGTTTTGGGGTTTAGGGTTTAGGGGCTTAGGGTTTAGGGTTTAGGGCTTCTTGAGTACAAACTAGGTTCCCCAGTAGTAGTAGTTACCCTTTTGCCCTTTTTCTTTTTGGGTTCCCTTCTGAAAAGCAAATAGTATATAGGAAAAAGGGTATCCTTATTTTCAAGGGGCTACTGGGGAACCTAGGTGGCGTGTCCTTATTTGTAGAAATGTTGTACACCAACGCCACCCGTACGGATCCGGATTACAAGACCATGTTGGATGCCATCGACGTGGCCCATCGCTGGCAGGTGAATTCTGTTGCACATACCCTTGCAGATGCCATTTGCGAGCACATCACGAATGAAAGCTTCATTCCGATCGCCGAAGCCGCAGCCCTCAAGGAGCTCGACTCCTTGGCAAAGGCAGGGAATCCTGATACAGGGGCCTTTAATAACTAGAACATGTTTTGGGGCCCATTCTACTTTAATGATAATAAGGAACCTCCAAAGTAGTATACGTATCGAAACCCCGATTGGGTTTCGGGTTTAGGGTAGCTCTTCGCGCTGGAAGCCGAGATGGCCCGAATCTCCAAACCCTGGAAGCCCCTCCAACCGTGAATGTTTAGACCTCCTGAATACCCTGAACCCTAAACCCTAATCCAGATTAATAAGCCCTAAGCCCCTAAGCCCTACACCCGAAACTCTAAAGCTCTGGACTTCGAACCTCCTAATATAGAAGCCTATATTCCTCAGGGTTCCTTATTATAAGTATACTAGAACGGAGCCCAAACCTCGCTACTATTTTTAAGGCCCATACATTCAACTCTTCCATGGAACCCTACCCTTAAAAGGATCCCCTTGAAGGAAGTACCATATTACTACGGTTTCTAAAGGGTTTGAGGTTTAGGGTTAGCTACTACTGTTGATGATATAAATCCTGCATTACCTTACTTAAGGAACCTTCACTGTGGGAATTATGGTATATTCACCCTAAACCTTCAACCCCAAAACCCGAGAGGTTAATGCAAGGATTTAGGTCATCGACCGTATGTGGGTGACCCAGACCCTCCAATAATTGTGCGAGGCCTGCGCTGTGTTCGCTACGAAGAGCGAGCAGATCCAGGAGTGTTAAAGGGTTTAGGGTTTAGAGTTCAGGGCCTTTAGGGCCTTTAGGGCCTCTAGGGCCTCTAGGGCCTTTAGGGTTTAGGGTTCAGGGTGCAGAGGGTCGGGTTTAGGGCTTTAGGGGTTTAGGGTACAGGGGTTTATTGTTCAGGGCTTAGGGACCTGTATGATCAGTTTTGTTGTTGCCGGATCGGGTTGGGGGGTATGTTATCATATAGCTGTTCGGGTTTCGGATTTGGCTGAGGGCTTGGAGCTTATATGGTTTGCGGTTAAGGAACAATCAAGGGCCATTAAGGGTTTAAGGTTTGGGGCTTTGGGGATTAGGGTAGGCCTCGGAAGCCCTAAGCCCTAAACCCTATTGGCGTTTGGAAATCGGCTGGCACCGTTTGGCTAAAGTCTGACAAGTGTGCAGGCGATGTTGAGGAATGGACGCATCCCGCCATGCGCTTCTTGGTAGTTGAATTTGTTAACTCAGCTCTTTTCCGGTTGGTATTATAGAGGCCTGAATGCTTTTTTTGTTTGTACTATTTGTTGGTGGGGGGTTCCTTATTATAGTTAGAGTATAGTATACCCCCAAACCGCATTCGAGTTATTAAGGTTCCTGCATTATGCTGAACACCAGTAGATCCATAAATCCCAAGCTCAACCTCGACGTCCGAATGCCTGAGCCCCCAGATCCTATAAACCTCTGAAGAAGGTAGCAAGAACCCCCGACGACTTAGATCCCAGAACCCTGAACCTTCATCCCTAAACCCTAAGCCCCTAAACCCTAAACCCTAAGGTCTGCAGGCTACTGGGCCAACCTGAGAGCACGGATTCCCGGCACGCTTCCCGGAAGAAGCGCCGCATTTTCTGAAGAAAACCAAAAGAGTCCCCAAAACGCTTTAGGGTTTAGGGCTTAAGTCCCTAAAAACCAAAAAGCCTAAATCCCCTAAACCCTGAACCCCTAAGCCCTGAACCCCTAAACCGCTAAACCCTATAAACCCGTCAACCCTAAACTGTGGGCTCTGAGAGAGCTTGGTGCAGTTGACACCAGAGAGTCCCCAAGAAATTGAGGATTTAGGGTTTAGGGTTTAGGGTTTAGGGTTTAGGGTTTAGGGCCGACCTGGTTCCTAAAGAACGGTGTAGGTCAGGGTCTGGGGTTTTTTCTGGTTTGATTATATAGGTCCGTCAGGAGGTCGGCTAAAATAGGGCCTACCCTAAGGCTCCTAAGAAGGAATAGATTCTTATCGGTATTTTACAAATAGCTTCTTATCATGGTTTAATGAATAGTCTGGGCTCTGGCAGAGGGTCCCTTATATCAGGACTTTGATCCTGAAACCTAAACCCTAAACCCTAAACCCTAAACCCTTAATCCTAAACCCTAAACCCTAAACCCTAAACCCTAACAGCTTCTCGAATCATTAGGGCATCCGTGGGCTCTCTGAACCACCTGGCTTCAGACCAGCGCGGTCATCGGAAAAAAAGGGGTTGAGGGTTTTGCAATGGGGTTTTGGGTTTAGGGTTTTGGCGCTTAGGGTTTAGGATTTTGGTGTTTAGGGCTTAGGATTTTGGGGTTTTGGGCTTTGGGATTTAGGGTTCGGGGTTGCAGAAGTCGATAGTAACTCCGATAGTAGTCGGCGTCGTCTCCGTCGTCATCGTGGCAATGGTGGTAGCCATATGGTGGTAGTGCAAGAGGTAGAGGTAGAAGTACAGTCGGTCTTCAAGGTAGGTATCTGTGGTTCCGCAAGATACAGATATAATACAGATAGGTTGCAAGAAGGTCTGTCAATAGTAGGTACGTAAAGGAGAGTTGAAAGTAGGCCCGGAACACCTCCTGACCCCACTCCAATTTCCAGGTGGCCTTGTGTTCGCTTTGCAGTATGGTTGGATTGTGTCTGCGGGTTGTCGTGTCGGAGTACAGCGGGGATGGTTGAGGTTTAAGTCTGGGAAATCGAAGAGCACGGCATCACTGGAGTACGGGTACCAAGCAGATGGATATCAAACAGCCCGGAAGCCATGCACCCCCAGCCCCAAAGCCTAAACCCAGAACTGAGGATGTATTTCGACGTCCCGGAAAATGCGACGAGTTTGCGAGCGTTTGAGCTCTGCAGCTTGACATCTTAGAAATCCACAATCCCGAACTGCAGAACATTAAGCACTACCTTAAGCTCACATAGTTTTTCGCTCTAGGTTCTTATGACAAACCCTGATATATGGAACTTCTGGGGACCCTACAAATAGTAGGTTTTTTGGTAGCTTAAGGTACGCTGGGAACCCCGAAACGCCAATCGTGAAGCTCCTCATAACACCTTGAATCCCAAGTTCTCGATTTAGGGTTTGCCTGGACCCTAAAAGCCTACCTTTTTCGGGCTTCTTATTATGATTTCTTTTTATAGGTCCTTATAAAGCTAGGTTCTTTAGTGCAGGGTTTAGGATATAGGAGCCCCTGACCCTATAAAGGCAACGCCGACGCCCGATCCTTGAACCCGAGCCCTCAACGGTGCCTTTAAGCTTGAACCCCAAATGCTAATGCGTTTCCAAAGACGGCCCATACACACTTCATGGTTTAGGGATTAGGGTTGAGTGTTTAGGGCATATACACTTAGTGGTTTAGGGCTTACGGAGTAGGAATATACACTACTATTGTAGAATTGGGCCTCCCAAGACCATGCTTAGAATGGTCTCAAGGGGCTTAATTCCATAACGGTCGTATCTTTCGGCCCTCTGGATTCTGGCAGCCCGGTTGCGAGCTCTGGAAATATCGGTGTTGGTGTGTGTGTGTGTGTGTGCTTTTGTTTATGTGGGTTTCGGATATCCCTAAACCCTAAACCCCCAAA